TTTTTTTTTTTTTTTTTTTTTTTTTTTTTTTTTTGACGATCAGTATACCCAAGCAAAAATCTTTTCTTTTTTTTCCTTTTTTTTTCTTCCACTTCTCAAACTTTTAAAACTTCATAAAATTGAAGCGCAAGAAAAAATATATATATATATATAAAAGAACTGTCGTAGTAAAACAGATGGGATTGCGGAGAAGGAATGCTGAAGGGAGAAGAGGGAAAAAGGGAAGAGAACAATGCTTTAAATTTATGGCAAGCATAATCATTATAATAATAATAATGATATAAATAAATGACAATAACGTGTTTAGTTACTTGATTTATATCAAAAAAAAAGGTAAAAAGCTGGGAAAAAACAATGTCATTAAAATGCACATTAATTCTTAAAAACTTGCGGATGAGTCACTTGAATTATATATGAGAACTAACAGCGATTGCGTTTTTCAGATACATCGTTTATATGTGATGCTGATGAAGCAACATCAAGATACACGATATTAAGTGTGGAGAAAAAAGGAAAAAAATAATGAGGAGAACGAATCAAATTTACGACTGTTCCTCATTCCGGAACATCGTACATTTCAATAAAGTTTCCATCATACCCATAACTGTTGGAAAAGATTCAGGTCCATCTCGCAAAGATCCCATCAAGGAGACAACATGTTCCTGAAAAAACACCCCAGCAATTTAGTTATTTTTTGTACTATTAACGAATGAGATTGTGTAAAATGAATAAATGAATAAAATGACTGTAATAACTAACGAATAAATGCGAGAAGACATGGATGACTGAACAGATAAGTATAAAGTTGGCAGAACAAAAAATTAATACTTCAGAAAAGTAAAAGCCAAAAATCACGTGCAAGCAATGAGTCAGTTATTTACCTGACATTCAAGGAATTTCTTCTCAAAATTCTCAACTCGATTTCTCAAATCAGCCTGATCCTTTTCATACTGCTGTATAGTTGACTGCGCTTCTGTTATATGATTTTCCAGCCGATTTACTTTTGCTTCGTAACCATTCACTTTCGATTCTAGGTACTGTATCCTCGATTCTGACATCCCTAACTTTGCTTTCATCATCTAAAAAAAGTCCTCAGTGTGAAACATCTAACGAAATATCAAAACCATCATTTTCCGTAGAACTTTTTTGCAGCAAAAAAAATAAAAAAATAAAAAGAAAAACGTGGAAAATAAAAGAGAAATAAAAAGAGGAACAGCCTTCAAAGTATTGACATTTTTCAGTCCAACCTGGCAGTCGTAACACTTCTGCGGGCTGGAAACATCTAAACCGCTAGGAGCGGAACTGCTTCCACTGGTATGAGAGTCTGAAACAGCAGGAGATGGCTGTTCACCGGATGGGCACACGTGATCCTCAGTTTTCTCCAAACCATTTTCTGCGCTAACCTTTGGAGGAGTTCCCATAAATTCTCTCTGAATAAAAAAGAAAATTTTCATAATTTAACCAAGTTTCAGTGATAAAGAAAAAGCGAGAAATTTCTAAATTCATCTACTTACCTCTCCATCGTCTTCTGATGCAACCTTCAAAAAACTTGGAAGCTGCTGCGGTTTACTCGCTTTTCTTTTATTTCGACTACTTTGTGCTACCTTCTTTTCCAGTAACTTGTCTAAAGAACTTCCTGCAGACGACGGCTTCGTTTCTTGAATCTAAAAATTTAAATTCCGTCATTTGTTTTCTATTCTTTACTATTTATAATTAAAACTACGTACAATCACAGTGAATGTAAAACAACGAGGAATAATGAACTTACAAAACCCAGAAGTTTATTTACATCAGTGATACTGTTCTGCGCAGTGCCATTATTCTCTGTAACATTGCTAATATTAAATGATCCATTTATATCGTCCTCTTTCTTTATATCAGAAATATCCATTTTAAGTCCACCAAATGACTGTCGGTCTGAAGATTCATTCTGCAGGTTCAGAGAATCACCGTTTGTAGCAGCTAAAAACAGCCAAGCGGCTCATAGCAGTCCACTGAACTTAATACTGTTCAACCACCTACTAGAACTTTTAACTATTCTACCCTAAATAAAAACAAAAACTTCCTTTCACTCACCATACATCATCTGTGCTGCATGAAATTGGCCGGCAAATTGACTTGCATACGGATTATTTGCCAACCACTGAGCCAAAAGAGCACCCGCTTCGGAACCAGCTTGAGGAAGTAACGCATCAGACTACAAAATGTTTCTATAGAATATATCAACTTTCCACCCTGTTTTCCATTCATCGATTTATTCCATCAAACCAAGGATGTTAGAAATGTATATGAGAAATGAAAATTAAAACTGAGAACTACGGAATAAATATAAATCTATTTGAATTCATCGAAAAAGTTAACAATTCAACTAACTAATCAACAAATAAAAAGTACCTTTGCTCGAAGTTTGGTAAAGAAGTCAGCGTTCGCAAGAGCTGGAAATATTGAGCCATTTAGTAAGCTGTTATTAAATGGAGGTATTTTGACAGGAGTTTCGTTCATTGGTGATAAACTGTCACGACCTTCTTGTGGACTTGACGAAGGACTGACATCTAACTCGTGAGGAGACATTTCACCAACAGCTAAAACATTCACAATTTTTGAATTGGGGGCAAGAGTTGTATCTGTTTAAATTAGCAAATCAATTCTGTCAGTACCGAGCAGAAAGTTGTAGGGAGTAAAAATAATCATTGTCAATGGTCTGACTAACCTCCTGCCATGCCGGGGCCTTCAGTAGAACTTCTTGCAAGTACAGATACGTCTCCTGGAGTTCCGCTTTTTATCATACTTTGCATGTGAATGTGTAAACTGGTTTTATCGGGAAATGCCCAATTGCAACAACGACACATAAACATGCGGGAAATGGAATGAACACGGAACATATGAGATCGAAGAGTCTCATTGCCTGAAAAAAATTTTTTTAATTTCCGTTCTTCAATTCTTCAAATTCGAAGCAATTAGCCTCTTTTTTTAGGATTATTCCTTCCTTAGATGAATACTAGAGCTCAATAGTAATCACATACACGTCAAAGATAATAGTTAAAACAAATGAAAGTTGAATGGACTAGCTACCTAATTAAAAGTTATTTATCTGACGAATTATTCACTAAAGCAGGAGTAGAACCTTGACTCTAAGAAAAAAAGAAACTCCAAGAATTCTTTTGTTCAACCTTCTCGTTTTTTTCTTTTCCTAACAAAAATAGCAATAAGGGAAGCGAAGTGAGGAAGTCCAAATTTAACCTTTTCCAACATTCATAGCGTAAATACTGTACACGTAAGGTACGAAATAAAAATAGAACCAACTTAAGCTATTGTTATTTTAGAAGAAAAAAAAAGAAAAAAGATGGTTCATGACAATAACATCAAAGAAAATATAATCTTTTTCCTTTTTTACCTTTCTTTGCTTTTGTTAATGCTTATTTCTTCCTTTTTTTTTATTTCTTGCCTATTCTACGTTTCTGCATATTTACTCTGCAATTTTCCCTTAGAAGGCACGCCAATGTTCCGTTTCTTTAGTTAATGCGTCGTTGCCTTATTACAATTGGCTACAATGTTTAGCTATAACCTTGAACTATATTTCTGTTATTGGGTCAATAGCCTGCCAACAACGGTAACACAAAGCGCTCAGCTCTTCTTCGCCGTCGACTTCGTCGTCGTCGTCTTCTTCTTCTCCTACAGTCCTTCGTTCTTCAAATTTTTCAACCGCATACCACAGTACCACCAGTAACAAAGATAGCAACAACAGTAGCAGTGACAGTAATATTAGCTGCATTAGCGGCAGCAACGCTAGCAATACTATGTACAGCAGCTACTGTCATCACTAAACGTTCCGGCTCTCTTACTTTTTACCGCCAATCGCTACAGTAATTACTTAGCCAAACAATGAAAATAAATATTCCCCTTACTAACAAAATAGGTTATGTCAGATTAATGGAACGTTTAAATGCTATCAAATGAAACCAACTCAACTAAACTCCCCCTCTTTTTACCCTCCCCCAAAAAAAAGGATTCAAATAAACTTCTATCAATTTCTCTCTAGCCTCCTTTCTCACTCCCATCTGTCAGACCTTGGAGAGAAGAAACAACAACAGTGAACAAAAAAAAAAAGTTGGTACTGCAACAGAAAATAAACTCTTTGCGAGAAAATAAAAAAAGACTGTCAACTGACAAGCCCTATAGTTTTTATATTTCCACCGCCTGTAACCTAAATTGTCATGTGACATCGCTAAATGTACTGACATAGCTTTTAATAGCAAGTAAAAAGAAGTAAAAAATAACATCAACAACAACAACAACAACAACGACAAATACTTCAATTTTGAAAAATCAGAATAAAAAAAGAAAAAAGTTTAACTAAAGTACAAAATATTTAAAAAAAAAATTATTGTTGCTGTCGTTGTTGTCGTTGTTGCTACTGCTGCTGCTGAAGTGAAAACGGTTAAGATAAACCAACAATTTCAACAGCTTTCATCAGCCACTGTTGAATTAAAATATTATTTTCACAACTTAGTGGTAAAAATAAACCTCTCAACCAAGTATACATCAAATCATATTACTTGCTGACCATTTGACGATGAAGCAAAAAATTTCTTTTGTTTTCCTTTTTCTATCGAGCAGTATTTCCATTTACATCATTTTACAGAATGATATGTGAGTGAAATTTTGAAAAAGACTTACTAGAAATTTCTTGATTGCATTGCGTACACGTATAACTCTTAAAATGTGCCTGCATCCGATGCCGACTTAACGATGATGAATGGCAGAATACTTTACCACATACTGAACACGGGAAGTTACCTAGAAAACAGAATACATAACTAGCAACTTTTTTTTTCATAACCAAATAAATATTACTAACAATTTAGTAACTCACAAACTAACAGGTATTCTTAGCATGAGATCAGTGTACTACCAGAAGAAACAGATACATAGAAAACAAGGTAATAATAAAGATTTTAAAAAAAATTGACTGTACCTGATGACTAGTGCAAAAGAAAAATTAAATAGACAGAATACTGTCAAAAAATCTACATTCATCCATAGTGCAGCAAAAATGTAACTGCCCTTGTACTTCTTAAAAGCATAAAACATAATGATCTGATGTATCGATAACACAACAGCTCTCAGCAATTTTTGTTAAAAATTATCAAGATCTATGTATGATAAAGATGATGAATGAAATAAGAATTTTTTTACAAGAACAAAAAAGTTAAACCATTTAACCTTTACATTCATAAACTGCTTTTTACTCACCGCAACCACAACTTCCACTTTAAACTTCCTCTTACCATAGTCATCCTACAACATACTGTTCACCCGATATGACCTCTGTAAAGCAGAAAA